TCTACCTGGTCCTTTTTACATTTATGAGGGAACTGGATATTTACAGAGATAAAACCACGAATTTTTTAGTATTACTTTTACTACTACAGTCGTAGCCACTATTATTTCTTCAAGTACTAGATAATATGTGTTCTGGTTAAAAAGACTTCAGTTCTCAAAATCCAGCTTTTCTTTTGAGCTAGAATGAGTAACAATTCAGAATATTAAATATTGCTAATGAAAGGAGTTTTGAACTGACACTGTCAAGACAAGCAGAATCCTTTTAGTTTTTGAAAACAAATTAGTTTCACTGGATTTATTTTTGCCCTCGAGCCTTTGGGGGCCTCATTCCAGATTCTAGCCACTCTCTGTCTTCTTATTTCAAGGAGGCTCTTAAACCTGTAACAGGCGATATGTTGTGGTGAGTCATGCGCCCTGAAAAGCCCTAATTCTGATGAGGGTTGGGGGAAGTGAAATTTCAAGTGACAAAATTCCAGAATGACCCTGCAGCAGTATTCTACAGAAAGATGGTGGATAAAAAGTAAAACAAGAAATGTCAGTGGAGAACTTACCTGTGATCGTTTCTAAGGCTCATTCTCCTGGTGGCTTTGATTGACCAAAGGCAAAATATGCCTAGTTCATTAGTTTCACTTAGGTTCACATACACAGCTTTTCTCTGTAACCACAGGGAGAAGGCAGGCTCACTGCTGCAGCCAGAAGGGTTTGAGATGCAAAGACAATCTCTCCTCTTAGAAATTGTGGGCCAGAATTTTCTGAGTTTTCTTCCCTCACAGGAAAGATCCATTTGGAATGAGTCAGTCGCAGATGGATGGTCTAAATGACCTCTTATATTGCCAGTGACAGGTACAGAACTATAAATGGTGGCCAGTTTACTTACAAGCATTTATTATGTGAGGTTTCCTTACATGGGTACATAGCTGTTAAAAATCAAACTGGGCCCTTCATCATTAAGGTACTTGGAGTCTCCTAGAGTGGAAACAAGAGAAATCGTGGTGTTGTGTGTCACATAACATGTGACAATGTGCAAAAGAGCAAGTGCAAGATAAAGTGACTGGGGAAACCAGGAAATCATTCCTAAAAGCCAGAAGAGCAACTTGGGGTTGCTATTAAGACCAAAGCATAAGCAAGAGGCGGTGTGATAGCCCGGCCCACCAGTAGCCTCTGGAGCAGCTGGGGGCCAGGGCTGGGAAGGAAAAGCTAATGGCTCCAGGGGGGTGTTTTCTCCCCAAACCTCTCTGCCCCCAGGGAGCTCCTCTGTACACTTGTGTTTGAATATCTTCTTGCACTCTCTCTGCCATTTACTGTTTCTCTCATCTGATGTGAGGGTAATACCTCTCTCTCAGAACTGTCAAGAGAATTAAGAGCTCATCACACATGGTGTGCCTGGCATAGTGCTGTGCTCATTTTATGAGGCCTCTGTCAGCCCAGAGCCCTGGAAGAGAAGCCTTTCTCCAAATCCACTGCTTGCAGATATCTGTCCCAGGAAAGCAGCTCAGCGCATGATGGTGGCACAGGCCTAGGAAAGGTTTAGGTGAACGTGGTAAAGGTCACAGGACCTCTTGAGTGGTCAGAAGCCCCCCCTCCCCCTCCTTGATTCTTGTGCAGAGAGAGTGCACTGGAGCAGGGAGTCCAGAGACCTGGATGCTGGAATCAGTTCTGCCTCCATCCTAGGATGTACCTTTGGGCAAGTTTGTTTCCCCTGTTCAACTCCATGCACCTGATTCTTGAAGCAGTGATCCATCCCCCTCAACATGCATCAGTACCCCTGCATACTGCATACTGGGGACTGTGCCAGGGGACAGGACATGATCCCCAGCCTTCTAGGAGCACAGGATCTGGTAGAAGTGGGAAGACACGGACCCAGATAACTTTCACACAAGACAGACAGAGTAAGGAGAGTGTTATGATGAAAGCACAGAGTCCTGTGGGCGCAAAGGAGGAGAGTGAGTCAAGTGAAAAGGAGGTCCTTTGTGGAGTAAAAAGGCTGCTTTGGCACTTTGTGTAAGACTTTGATACATCAAGGAAACATTCTAGAGAAAACCCTGCAAGCCCAGGGCTGGAGCTTAGAGAGTGTGGTTAGGGATGAGTGAGTAGTTCTGTGAGCTGCAAAGGAGATGCTCGGGTGCAGGGGCTGGGACATAAGCTGATGTGTTCTGAAGGGGAACGGTTTCAAACTGCTAATCCAAAGGGTTCAGGCCAAGCTCAGGAGAGGGGATAGCACCATCAACACTTTTCCTTATTTTTTTGTTTGTTTGTTTATACATTCATTTGCTTATTCATTCAACAAACATGTATTCACTGTTTACTATGTGACAAGCACTCATCTGGCTGCTGCTGAGAGGAATATGAATAAGATAGAGTTTCTTTCCTCAAGGAACTCACAATCTGGTGGAGGATACAAGTAACAATGGTATGTAACACAGATAACCATTGCTACCTGCTCCAGGAACGGAGTTGACCCAGTGATTGGTTGTGCTGGGAAGGAGAGGATGTAAGAAAGAGCTTCGAAAGGAGTGCCATCTGAGCAGAGTATGAGCTTGCCAGACTGGAGGAAGAAGCTTTCCAGAGAGCAAAGGCCCAGAGGCCTGACTGTCTGGGGCGTACTGGGAACACTAGGAAGCTGACTGAGTAGATCATAGAGTGGGAAGGGGAACTAGGGAGAAGAGACTGGAAAAATGAATTGGAGTTGGAATGTGGCTTGGTCCTAACGGCGCTGAGACAGTATTGAAAATGACTAAGCCGGGAAGGAAGGAGTGTAAATGTGCGAAGGACAGAGGGGAGGTCTTAGGCAGATGGTGGCAAGACTCGGTATTAGCCCTTCTGTTAACTCACAAGGAGGATCAGGAGGACCTGAACTGGGGTGGACCTGATAGGTTATTGATGGCATTACTGAGGGAGAAATCCTAAGGTAACTCCTGGGTCTCGGCTTGAGCGGCTGCTGCCTTTCCCCACACAGGAGTCAGGAGGAAGATGATGAGGTCATTCTCGAACATGGAGAGGCCAAACAGGATACCTGCTGTGCTCCCCACCCCCGCACCAGCTTAGTATCCTTCAAGTGCCCCCATTCCCGTGGGGCCTGGCCCCGCCCCTCCACTGTCGTCTCCCGGCCGTACCTCCTCAAATGCTTGCTCCAGCCGGAGCAGCTGGCAGTTCCTTCAGCTTGCCAGATTGTGTCCCACTTCTGTGTGCCTCTAACCGGAACACCTTTCCCCTTCTCTTGCCTTTTGCCTGGCCAGTTGCCAGCGTCACTCAGAGGTGACATCTTTGAAGAAGCCTCCCCTGACACTCTGTACCACGGTCCCCAGGGAGGGTCGGTATAAATCTGTCAGCAGCCACTTACTAACCACTTGATTGTAAGATTTGCACGCCTGTCACCTCCTCCACCACTGTGCCCCTTCCCCGCTTCCCCCGAGGGCAGGAGCCTTCTCTGTATCCATTGTGTCTGGCCCAGATGGAAAGTAGGGCATCTGTTTTTTAAATAAACAAATCTAGATGGGAACATCCAACAGAGAGTGGGGAAGTCCAAAAGACAAAATCCAAGGCACCAAAGACAAACAGATATGAACAATATGAACACCTGTGTCCACCATTGGCTCCCCTGTCCTCTGCTCCAGGCACTCTGTTATCTAGAGGCTAGATATTTAATGACCTTGGCCATGGCTGCTGGCTTGGCTGTATGTGTGGAATGCAGTAGAAAGGGAAAGCAGATATGGAGATCAAGGTCGGAAGGCCACTGAAGGCTTGGGGGCTGACATGGAACTCCCAGGCTTCAAGGATACAAGTGTACCTAGGAGAGAGCCTGGCTTAGACACCTGTTTCCCTTCCTCTTTCTAAAGTGGTGGGCCTTATTTTCTATCACCATCTGGTGGCCACATCCACAAATAACAAGCTCGCCATGAGCTGAAAGACCTTGTAAACGCAGAAGTTCCATGACCGGCCCCAGAGGGCTAAGAGCTGCCCAGCTCCCCACCCCCACCCTCAACCCCTTAGAGACAGCCTGCGAATTTGTACGTATGTGACATTTGCTTTATTCTGGTGAGAAGAGCCAAGAGTTTTGTTGTTTTTGTTTTTGTTTTTGTTTTATTGAGTTATAGTCAGTTTACAATGTTGTGTCTATTTCCAGCGCAGAGCACTGTTTTCAGTTATACGTGAACATACATATACTCACTGTTGCGTTTTCACTGTGAGCTACAAGGTCTTGTACGTATTTCCCTGTGCTACACAGTATAATCTTGTTTATCTGTTCTGCATATGCCTGTCAGTACCTACCTTTTCAAACTCCCAGCCTGTCCCTTCCCACTTTTTCTGTCCTGCATATAGTTCCCAAACATGAAAACATTTTTCCTGTCGAATTTTAGTCTTCTGAAAAGAGAGATTTCCCCCTCTAAATGCCTCTCAACAAACCATAGTACATGATGGAAAAATAAGTCTATAGCTTACATTTGAATAGTTCTTTATGACTTAGAACATGGACATGCGTCAGCTGACATGTTTTACAGTTGGAGAACCGAGACTCAGATAAAATGACTCACCTGCTATTTTCTAGTCCCAGCTGAAGGGTTCTTCCCACTGTCTCACAGCCTTTGTATACAAGTGTGTGTGTTCTGTGGTGTGTAAAGCAATGAACAGTGGGCAGTGGAACCTGCTTGTTGATATCTGTTGAGGGAGGTAAAACCAACGTCCGCAAATCACAGCCATCTGGGGAAGGGGTGGGGGATAAAGGCTAATACTGATTGAACACTGGTATATTAGAAGCATGAGAGTGCAATTTCTAAACAAACAACCTTCAAGGTACGAATTTAGTCACCATTTTTGCAGATGCGTTAACTAACGCTCAGAAAGAAAACGTGCTTTACCCAGAAAACCTCTGGCCTGCCAGCCTCCCCAGCCTGTGTGCTCCACACCCCTCGCTGCACAAGGTTTGAACATGCCCATTTGCCTTCCCGGTGGGCAGTCCTGGCCTCCTCTAACCCCGATCCTCCCTCCTTTCTGTCTCTTAGGAGTGCCAGCTTCTCTCAGGGCACCAGGGCCTCGTTTCTCGTGAGGAGTGACACAGCCGTGCAGAAACTTGCCCAGGGCAATGGACACTGTGTCAACGGAGTCAGCGGTCAAGTCCACGGCTTCTACAGCCTTCCCAAGCCAAGCCGGCACAATACAGAATTCAGAGACAGCACCTACGACCTCCCCCGGAGCCTGGCCTCCCATGGCCACACCAAGGGCAGCCTCACAGGCTCTGAGACGGATAACGAGGATGTGTATACCTTCAAGATGCCCAGCAACACCCTGTGCCGTGAGTTTGGGGACCTCCTGGTGGACAATATGGACGTTCCGGCCACCCCACTCTCAGCCTACCAGATCCCTAGGACGTTCACGCTGGACAAGAACCACAATGCCATGGCAGTGGCCACTCCTGGGGACTCAGCCATAGCTCCCCCGCCCCGGCCCCCCAAGCCAAGCCAAGCTGAGACACCTCGACGGGGCAGCCCTCAGCAGAGACCTCCAGCCGGGGACAGCAGCAGATCAGTCTCTGCTGCTGCGACCATCCCCAGACGCAACACCCTCCCAGCCATGGACAACAGCCGACTTCACCGAGGTCAGTGTGAGCCCTTGCCGAGGCCGGGGAGAGGGGGGCAGGCAGCCCAGGGCTTCTCAGTAGTGCACTGAAGGTCCCCCCGGTCACTGATGCTCACAAGTTAAAGCATCTTCTACTCAGAACTTTCCCAGTTGGCCCTCCAGCACTGGAGGCCCTTAGTGGACACCACAATGGCAAGAGGGTAGCAGACTCTGCCTGCCTGAGAGAAGTTCCTGTTCCACTAAGGAGAGAGAACATTCTTGGTTAACCACAACACAACATATTATGGGTCTGGAGGTTCAAATTATAATCTTTTATTAATTAATTTATAAATTTTAGAAGCCTAGTCCAAACTGGAGCCAAACCTATGTGGACCAACAGACTAGTAAAATTAGTCCTACAAAATATTTTCTAAGCCACATTCAAATCTCTTTGGTTAAAGTCTGAACTTCTATCTGAAGTGTTTAAATTCTGTCGTCACTTATTTTCCACTGAGTAGTCCAACTCTGCATCTAACCTCCTGTTTGATGAAAAGGAATACATTGATTCCTTTCATTCTGCATCTTGCTTTATAGCTTCTGAGCGTGTTCTTACCTGTCCTATTGTTTAAGACGTGCAGTAGCCCCGAGAGTTTCAGGGGACAAAGCCTCGCTGTCTTTATGTCACATGAGGTGCGTGGTAGTTAAGAGACTCGTTCAGGGTTGCAGAGTCAGTCAGTGACACAGGTGGGACTTGGACCCGGGATACTCTTTGCAGACTTCAGCTCATCACCTATTTGATCAGTCACTCTGTGCTGTGGGACTGAGGAGGGAGACATGTAAAACATGTCCCTGCCCTTCAGAGAGCTCAACGTCCAGCTGGGGAAATAAAGCCAACGTGTATAAATTAGTCACACGTCCTTGTTACTATAGTATCTGTGTGAGTGATAGCTGCCCCGAGTGGGACAGGTGACAAGGGCCCTAGGAGTTAAAGGAAAGGCAGCAGTAGGCTGGGAGAGGTTCTCTGTAGAGGCCAACACTGGAGCTACATCTAGAAGCCTGGGCGGGACGTGTGAGCTGAGGCATGGTGTGAGAGAAGCAATAACCTATCATTAGAGGTTGAGACCCGTATCTTCTGGAGCATCAGTAAGACCCTGAGCAACACTGGTGAGGGTATGGGGAAGTGTTGGCACGAGGATCGACTCTGAGTGTCTGTGGATCTTCCATCCTCTGTCGTAGCTTCTTCCTGCGAGTCCTACGACTACCCCCAGCGTGGTGGAGACAGTGCAGGCCGGTCCGCCGAGTCCACGAGTGATGCAGTCAGCGCCTTCCTGGTGAGTGGGGTGTAGCTAGGGGTCCTCAGGCTAGCTCAGGTGGGTTAAAGGTCACACCCACAGGACTAGAAACACAGCCTGAAAGAGTGATGGCTTCTCCCTCTTAGCTTCCTGCCTCTGTTCAGAACCTGGGTTGAGTCTTTGGGAAGTAAGATGCAGGGATCCTGGTCTGGAAGAAATCGCACTTAAGTGCACCTGACTTACAAGGCTCATCACTGTGGGTATGCAGGAGGGTCTAGAGTGCAGAGGACCCGGGCTCTGGGGCAGTGGATCGCAGCAGCCGCCTGGCCCATGAGGTCTCACCTGGAGGAGGATGCATTGTACGGCAGTGCTCAGAGTCAGGCTCCATGGCTGAATTATGGTTTAAGTGCAGGATACTAGGCTGCCCTCTGGACTGGGCTGATGACTGTTCTCCAGGGTGTCCAGCCCCAGCTAAGCTGACTAGGGCCTGGAAAAACTGAAAGTCAGGTACCTGAGGCAAAAGCAGCTTATAGGTGTATGCCTGGACAGACAGGGCAGGAGTGGAAGGGAGGCTCTGGCCGGGGTGGCTGCGTCGCACAGCTCTGTGGCAGCACCGCCTGCAGCCTGGCGGTCACACTGAAAGCACACCTGGCCATACCTCACCTGCTGGGGCCAAGGCTTCTCTCATGCTCCTTGCCCTGCTCAGGGCCGGAGGTGCTGACCTGCCCATCATGAGTCTGAACTTGAAGGGAGGGCAGATCCCGAACTACACCCATGCAGTACATGGCCTATGCTGTCCTCTGAGGCATCTAGACAGCCTCGTGGGTATTAATACTAAAAATTTACCATAGGTTATACGTAAACCCCAAAGGAGTACGGACCTTGTTTCTTCCCGTCTCCTCCTCTGCCGTCGTAGTTGGTTTTCCCGGGGTCTGCCGTGTAGCTTCACACGGCAGCTAACTCGGGCATGACTTTTCTGGCCTTGTGTACAACTTCACCCCCTTCTGGTTTCCTTTCACTAGTAACGACTGCACTTCTTTTCACTCTTAGCCAGGGAAAACAGTCGTGGGCCGATCAGATAGCACCAATTCTGAGGACAACTACGTGCCCATGAATCCAGGCTCCTCCACCCTGCTGGCCATGGAGCGAGCAGGTGATAATTCCCAGAGTGCCTACATCCCCATGAGCCCAGGGCCCCATCACTTTGACCCGCTCGGCTACCCATCTACAGCCCTGTCTATGCACCGCGGCTCCAGCCGAGGGAGTGAGATCCAGCCACCTCCTGTCAACCGCAACCTCAAACCTGACCGGAAAGGTAGGTCCACTCGTCCCCTGGTCCATCTTGGACAACGTTCAGGGATTATTTGCATTCATTTAGGGATCAAGTGGATCCCGAAATTTCCTTGCAAGGAGGTGACAGCCTAAACCAGCCCAAACTCACACACACACGCACTCCAAGTTCATCCCAGTGGTCTGGCACCCTAGGGACGGGCTGCAGGAATCAGGACAGGACAAATTCAGGTTCCAGTTCTGCCCCCTGCTAACATGTGACTGTAAAGAAATCCTTCTGTCTCTGAGCCTTCTCTCTTCTCAGCTCTCAAATGGGAAGTATAAAACTTGACCTCCCAGAGATGTTGGAGGACGCAGGTAATAAGATTTAAAAGTGCTTCATAGTGTATAATGCAATTCAGGGATGAGGGATTGTATCCGGCCTGGGCCTGCGCAAGGCGGGACGGACAGAGCAGCCTAGTAGAAGGTAACAGCAGTGACGAGAGCGCGGGCCAGGCCTTCAGACCAGGTGGGTGTGGGCTGGGAGCCTCGTCTAGCACTGCCAGGTGTGTGGCTTTGAGTAAATCATGTACGTCCTCTGAGCCCCCATTTTCTCCTCTGTGCAATGGGGACAGTAATGCCTGCCTACTGGGTTTGCTTAGGAGAAATCCAGAGAACAATCTGTTGTCACAGGCCGTGTCCCCATTTTAAGATTCTGAAAGTATGATTACCACAGATTACAGTGCAAAGGATATATAATTTGAAGACATGACTGGAGGGCCTGTCCACAGGGGCAGAGATCACAGAACCTTGCTGAGTCTGTGTCTACATGCAAACCCGGGGTGAATGTGAAAGATGTATAGATAAATCTGTATGGATCTGTGTGTTATGTGTTAAGTGTTTGTATGTCTGGCATTGTCATCATGGGCTGATGACTCGACTTTCTGTTCCTGCTGCAGCAAAGCCAACACCACTTGACCTGAGAAATAACACTGTCATTGATGAGCTCCCCTTCAAGTCACCCGTCACCAAGTCTTGGTCTCGGGCCATGTGAGTGTCTATTCGTAGTTGGAACGGGGCCATCGGGCTGGTGAATGGAACAAGTCACTGTCCCTCCCCTGTATCAGATCTTAATCTGATCTCAGAGAGCAGGGGTGTGAGGGCCAGGGCCCAGCGGGAGGCTGGATGTGCCCCAGGGTTTACTGTCTTTTCTCCACAGCCACTCCTTCAACCCCGGATCCTCCCAATACTGCCGCCCCATCTCCACCCAGAGCATCACCAGCACGGACTCAGGAGACAGCGAGGAGAACTACGTCCCTATGGTGAGTCCTCTGGGGTCTGCAGTAATGACTGCCACCAAGGTCCCTGGGAACCCACCTCTCACTCCCCCACTTGCCAGCTTGCTAACTACCCCCAGCCCTAGGGCACCCACATTATTTGTGATTTGCTATGGCAAAGCTGTCTTGAGCACTGTGGGGTCGTTATCAGAGCAAGGAAGATGTGGTCCCTACCCTCAAGGAGGCCACTGCCTTAAGGGGCAGAGGGCCTGCTGCGAGAATGTACCCACAGGAAGGGTGACTAGGACTTCAGGAAAAAATACTTGCCAGACAAGTCGGTCCTGCTGCCTCGATGAGACAAGACCCTGAAGCCACTGAGGGGCCTGGGGCCCTCTGTTGAGAGCGCTGAGGAGCAGGCGGCTGCCCCGATCTAGACCACGGTGGGCGCTCCAGGGAAGATCTGGTGCAACAGAAGCCTCTCCAAGGTCCAACTATAAAGGACATGTGCTCCCTTAGGAGCAGCAAGTGAGGGCAGGTCTGTCAGCTCACCAGCTGTGCAGCTGGAGGCAAGTCACTTTACTTCTCTGAACCACAGGTTTATCTTCGTTTTAAAAAGTAAGAATAGTAATAATACTTGCATCCCAGGATTGCTGTGAGGGTGTAAATGAGAAGCCCCGGCACAGTGCGTGACACAGTAGGCCCTCAGTGAGCTAGCTGCTCTTACTCCCAGAGGTGAGTTTTTCCCAGTGGTGGGTAATCTGTTTCCTAAACAGATTTTCTCTCCTTTGTGACAGCAAAATCCAGTGTCTGCATCTCCCATTCCCAGTGGCACCAACAGTCCAGCCCCTAAGAAGAGCACGGGTAGCGTGGATTATCTGGCCCTGGACTTCCAGCCAAGCTCCCCAAGCCCCCACCGCAAGGTGCCTGGGGTGGGATGGGTGGGAGGGTCTGTCAGAGCTCTCAGGGAGGCTGACCGGCGGCTCACAGTCCCTCACTCACAGCACACAGGCACCCCGAGTCTGTAGGACCTCATCAGTCAGTCCATCCCCCTTGTGCAGATGGGCAAATGAATGCACACACAAGACGTGGCCTGCTTGAGGCGCCACGTGACTCCATGAGAGAGTCCAGACTCGGGGATCCTGTGTCCTGAGTAGTTCTTTGAGAACTCCTGGTCTAGCTGCAGCCTGCAGAAGGGCTCTGGCCTGGGAAAGTCCCCCCTCACGAACGAAGCACACTTAGCTGCCCAATCGAGAGAGCACGGTTCCCCCCGCCCCAGGATGGCTGTGTGTGCTCACCACAGGCCCCACAAAGCCATCTGACCAGTGCTCTTTGGCACCCGACAAATTCCTTCCCCTGGACAAGCGGCTACGGGGAGGTGGGTGGAGGCAGAGATGAAGGCCTGGAAAGGGCCTGGGTCCTCCCAGGAGGTGGGAAATCAGAAGGGCTGTTCCATCAGACAGGAGGGATGATGCAGTTTGGAGTGGAGGCTTTAAAGGCCACTTTCAGGAAACAAAAAAAGGCCTGTCAGAGTGGCAGGCAGATGCCCACCGCCTCCCCCCAGCTCACTGCTAACTCACAGCCACTTCACTTTCCCGCTCTGCCCCTCAGCCATCCACGTCATCCGTCACTTCTGACGAGAAGGTAGACTACGTTCAAGTGGACAAGGAGAAGACCCAAGCCCTGCAGAACACCATGCAGGAGTGGACGGACGTGCGGCAGTCCTCGGAGCCTTCCAAGGGCGCCAAGCTGTGACGCAGGGGCCATGGCGCCCAGGGAGGGGCCAGGAGGCAGCGTCTCCAGAGCTGATGCCTCCCCGTCTGTCTCCCCTTTCTCCTTGCCCATGGCCCCCTCCCGCCCACCCCCTCTGGCCTTCAAAGCACTTGACATCAGGGACCCTGACCCCTTCCCCTGGGAACCTCCTCTGCCTACTCGGGGCCCACCTTTGATTTTTATCTGTCATGGCCACGCCTCGCCCCACTTTAGTTAGAGCTGTTGCCAAAAAGCATCCTTCAGCCTCTTCCTGCCCTTAGACCTGAATATCTACCACATGTGTGGAGGGAGATTCCACACCTCCGGCCTTTGTCCCTCCAGCTACTTCCTGGGCTACTTCTCCTTCACTCCTGGGAGAAGCCATGTCATCGTGCAGACCCAGGGAGCCAAGGACCAGCGGACCAAAGTGGACATGGACTTCGTCATCCAGTCTTTTTTGGCAGGGGAGAGGCAAGGCCACCAGAAGATGAAGGGGTCAAGAAGGAAGAGCAGAGTTGGTCTTGACGAAAGAATGAGACCCCCCCAGACAGAGGCAGTGGATACCTGCAGTGGGCCCCACTTCCAGGCCAAGTGGCAGTGCAGCCATGGCGGGTGGGAGAGGCAGAAGGATGAGGGTAAGAGGAAGGGAAGCCTGAAGACGATGGGCAACCCAGAACAAGGAGCGGGGCTCAGAGCCCAGGAGCTGGGGTGCAAGGACACTGCGGGGCTGGGCCCCCAGAACTGTGGAGCTACAGTCCCTCTCTGCAGGGCTGGGACATAGTGCAGTCCTCACCCGCCCCCCAAGACCCCCGCTACTGAGAGGGCCACGCGGACAAGGCTCGGACTATGCTGGGTGGTGCGGTGTGTGAGCACCGGCACAGTGAGGGGAGGCCGGTGGAGCTGTGGGAACGCAGAGCAGTGTGCAGGGTAGGGGACGTGGAAGGGAGGGGCCACGCTGGGGCAGGAACAGGCTGGGCGGGGGCAGTGCGGTGCTGGAGGCACAGGTAACTGATGGCAGGGGTGCAGGGTGGGGCAGAAAGAGGTGGTTTGATATGTCGTTGTCAGTGACATGCGTGGTGACAGGCGAGGACAGTCCCCAGCAGAGCCTAGCGGATGGTGTGTGAGAGTGGCCAGGCCTCTGCCTGTGGCTTGAAAGGCCAACAGACCAGCATCTCTCCACCCACCTTTGCCAGGGACAGGAGGAGGGGTGTCCCCCAGGCTCCCTCTCCTGTCTGGGGAGGGGGACTCTTACGTCAGTGTCTTTGGCCAAGTTTTCAAGAGTTTCAGGGGCAACTGGGCAGATGTTTCATCCTACCCTGGGGTGAACTGACCGTCCTCGTCCACCTGCGTGGACGTGGCTACTTACCTTCTAGGTCCTGTGAGTGTGCACACACACACCCCTCACCAGCCCCGTGGCCTGACCTGACTCCATCCTGGGGGAGAGGTTCTCAAGCGTAGCCCCTCTCTTCCTCCTATTAATTCAGATCAATTCAGTAAGCATTCATTAATGGCTGCTGTGGCCAGGTCTGTGCTAGGCACTGAGGACACTAATCAGACTTTGTCCCTGAATTTGAGAAGGTCACAATCGATGGGAAAAAAAGACAAGGACACAAGACATTGGTAATGGCTGTGAGAGACTTAAAATGCTGATCACATGCAGAGAAAGCAGGGTTACTTCCCAGGAGGTTGGTGCTGGGGGGCGGATGAGGGGCGGAGATCAGGGAAGGTGGTTTCTAGGAATGGGGGTGCCTCACATGGGCCTGAGGAGAAGATGGGTCAGATTTTCAGGAGGGCAAGATCAGAGTCCAGTGGAAAAAGATAGACAGAGGGGCTTGGAGAATTTTGTGCTTTAGGAACAAAAGACCTTTGGGTGTATGGGCTCAGCAGTGAGGGCCACACCTCTGTGTTCTAACAGGTGGGCCCAGGTATTGAAACCTTCAGTTCCCAGCCCCAGCGGCCTCCCCCGTTGACTGTCAGGTGCCCTAGTACTGGCAGCATTTTCTGAACGTGCCATGGTGTGAATGAAACTGGGGGGAGTTTTGCAAGACAAACGTATTAAAATCTAACCTCCAAGGAGACCTCCCCTCCTATAACCCCCAAGCCCTCAGGGTGGCGTTGGGGTAGAGATGGAAAGCAGCACACGAGAAGAGGAAACTGGCCTGCAGAAAACAGAGACTGGCTCACAAACCCAAACCACCATATGTCTGGTGTGGACCTGCCGGCTCAGTGTGAAAAACTGGTCCCTCAGCCTGCCGGAGTCCACCTCTGCCTCACAAGGACTGAGACCCCAGGATGCAGATGCCTTGTCAGCCAGCATGGCTCCCTCAGGCCTCCTCCTGCCCAGGGCTCCGCAGAGAGGGAGCTATCCTCAGCCCCTGCCAGCTGCACCTCTGTAAGGCTAAAGAAAGGCGAGCAGGAGCAGTGGGGAATGAGGGGGTTGTGTTTCCTTCCCGCCTTGGTGAGATGAGATGAATGAGATGGGCCCACACCCAGAGCACTGACCCAGTCCCTTCCCTGGACTGATTTCCGTAATTTCTACATTTGAAACCATTCAAATATGCCCCATTCCTAGGACAGAAGCACAACCATTCTTAAGTAATTTACCTCCCACAGGGCTAAGGTCTCAGCCCCAAGGTGTGGTCATGGCCCCTCCGCCCGCACCCTGCAGAGCACAGGGCCCCCCTCTGGTCCTTCTGCAAAACGTAGGGGAAGGCGGCTGAGCGCGGGCTCCAGAGCCCCCTTCTGGAACGCACCGCACTCCGGGGGGGGCCGGGGGCACTATGTGCTGAGGTCCCACTGGAGAGTCGGGCTGTCACGTGATACTGGGTGGCGTGTGTTCCTGTGTGTTGGTTACGTGTGTCTTGAAGTTTAGAATCATTTCGCACATAATCGTCGCTTTGTCGGGAAGAGAGTGGGCTAGAAGCAGCCAATCTTAGGTTTCTGGCCCTGTCACCATTTAAAATTGACATGTAATTTTTCAAATCACTGTTGGTGCCTAATCACTTAAGTTATTAATTTATTCTGTTTTCTTTTTTAAAAAATTTGTAACACGTATTTATCCTGTGAGTAAGTCTGGGGGTGGGGGGGGACGTGTTCTCATGTGGGTCCTGTTTTTGCTGTGGTGACACATGGTACAGGCCTGGAGCTTGCAGGGCCCTTTTTACTGTGGTGTTGGAGCTGGACGACAATAAAGTCCATCAGAAGCAACCAGAGAGGGCCACTGAGTCCGCCTCGTCCGGAGGGGCTGTGGGGCGGAGGCTGGCACACGACACACACCCTTGACTGATTACCGTCCTCTCACAATCCCAAGACGGCTACGTGCCAGTCTGCTCCACTTCCCTTTTAACAGAGAATAACTGGGTGCCTGCCTTGGCTGAGAACAAGAGTCAATCCTCCTTACCTCGGAGTCTGTATTCCTGATGTGTGAAACGGAAACTGTAGCAACCTCTGCCAACTCATCTTTCTTAGAAGGCGCGCTGGCCCAGAGATGAATCCTGAGTGTGACTCAGTCTCTGACAGGCTGTCGGCCCACTTCCTTCCGCTTGTTCGAAGGTCTTAAAGGTCTAAGACACTGTGCCAAAACTCAACTCCACCTCCAAGAATGGGTGGAACCCGGGGGCTGCCTCCTGCTTTCCTGAGCCCACCCCCGAACCCCCTCTAGGTTCTCAGCAAGGAGGAAGGAGAAATGTGGTACCTCCCACAGGGCTATAGCTGTTTCTGGGTGGCCCAGCATTCCTGGGGTGAGAAGGGGCTCCAGCCCCACCCGACAGGTGAGTCCCTTAACACAGCCGTGCCCCCGCCGCCCCCCTGCTTCCCAGGATCGTGAGCATTTCCTCCCTCTGCCAGGGCCTGTACCTGGGCATGTCCCCACCACCAGGCTTCACCTTTGATTTACACACCACTTCAGTGTAGGGTGCTCTTACCTCCCCGGTGCAGCGCACACGTCAGCAGTGCAGGGGTATCCCCTCCTTACTCCCCAAAGAGAGCAAGGAACCAACGTAGAGCTGACATCACAGCCACTAAGGCAGGAAGAACGACAGCTTTAAAGGCTTCAGAGAACCTGTTTTTATTCCTGTCTGAGACCCTGGGTCCCCTCTCTCCATTTAGAAGGGGTACAGCAGTGTGAGGGCACAAGGAGGTCAACTTCACTCACCAGACCACCCCACTAATGACCACCTGCTGAGGTGCTGAGCCAGCCAGCTTCCCTCGGGACAGGCGTCATCGTGAGAAACACAAACACGCTTGCAGTAAAATTAGGATTCTCTCTCTCTCCTAACCAGAATGGGGATGCGAATGGTGGCATCTCAGGCACTGAGGTGGGAGAGGAGGTAAGAGGCCGTCTCCCCTCTCCACATTGTTGCTTGGGTGTCGGGGGTAGTCTCTGATCCTGTGCCAGCTGCTTCCCACCTATGCTCCTCAAAAAAGTACACACAGCGTGGCCACCCATGGGCATTGCCTCAAACCCCCTCAGAGAAACAAGGCGGCAGCCAGAGGGGGTGACACGCAGCCCCCTTCTTTGTGCCAGGGCTTGGGTCCTGCTCTGCTTTTTGTACGACAGAGAAACAAGATTGTCTGAAAGGAGCTGGAAGGGAAGTGCTACTTGATGGCGAGACACTAGAGCTGTGAAGCTCGGCCCTGTCGGGGGGCCTGCAGGGAACAGGCCCACAGAGTGTCCATCTAAGCTGCTTCAAGCTGACCAGGACACCTGGGTGTCACTCTTCATGGGGCTGATCCCAGTGTCAGGACCTAAGGCCCAGTTTAAGGGGTTTGGGTCTCACCTC